CTTGTTCAGTGAAACATGAATAAAAGAAGGACTTCAGCACAAGTACACAATTTTACATATGTGTGTGCGTGTGTGTGCGTTTGTGTATGTGTGATAACGATTTATAATTTCCTGAGAAATTTTGGGAAAGTCTATGAAAAAAAGGAAAAAAAAACTTTCGAAAACAGTTTTAAAATATTTTTTTATCTCCTCCAATACTCTAATTATTTTATATTCAACGCGAACAACAAAAAAGACTTGTAAAATCCTTCCAAATAGAAAAGTGAAACATTCTGATAAGCCCAACAAATCAAAATGTATTGTCCTATCCCCACTATCTCTATCACAACTAAAAATGAAAAAAGTTTACTACGCTTAACATAATAAAAGACTTAACTAATTCGTAATAATAATAATAATCCAATAAACTCATTAGCCGATGGCTTAAAGAAATACAAAAAATTGTACTCACAAATGGAAATGGTTAGTGGAAAATGTCATGATGCCATTTCTGACCTTAGATCTCTGGTCGGGACTCGGAAAGAAATGAGTATACACCAGAAACTAAAGGACATAAAACAATAGTAATAAGCTAAAACTTGAAGAAGGATATTACACTATCACCAGTAATAATCTCCAAAACGAATATATAGGAGAAACTTCAAGGAGTTTAAATAAAAGATTATATGAACAGAAAGGGATATTTTACAAAACAACACACTTAACACATCAGCTTATCACCTTAATGAGTCTGAGCATAAATTCGATTTAAAAAAATGCTACTTTAATTAAAATAGAAACCAATTTCAGTCAGTTAAGTGCTATACGTGATAGACGCGTGTGCGATCATGTATCTTTCGATACATAACTGACGAGGCAGATTTTTTCCGCAGTAGGTTGCCATTTCTTTCTGCGGTAGACCAGTTGCCATCCAAGGCTACAGAACCTGATCTGTCTTGCTATTTACCCATAGCTGTGAGGGAGATGATTCATACCTTTCCCAAGGGTATTAACACGTATGTAAATGTAATGGATTTGACTGGAATTCGAACTCGGGTCTTCGATTCCTCAATCCGAGCCGCTATCATTACTCCACACTAAGACGAAAACGTATAGAAAGGGCTTTCATTGCTATCTACAGCAAATTTACATCCAATTTTTTACCACATTTCTCACTTCTTGGCAAATCTCCAATCACAATGAGGGATACTTAATGACAAAAATGATAAAAGAAACATAAGCAGAAAGAAAAGGAAAATAAATGAAATCGAATAGACTATATAACCAAAGCAATATTTTTAAAAATATATAAAATCTCAGCGTCAGTAATCCTTCGAGCATATATGGAGACCCATCAACGTAAATATTACTTTATACCGATGAAGTCATTTTGTCATAGATTTTCCTAAAACATATATATAATATATATATATATATATATATATATATATATATATATATATATATCGTCGACTCTCCCGTCGAATTTTCGACGTATGAGGGTCAAGCAGATCAGTTTCCGGGAAACCGACAGCCCGACACCGGCACATGAGATTTGATTATAGTGGTGAAGGCCTCGTGCAGGACCATCCACACTTTTTGAAGGGACGAATACAGAGACCTGGTGCACCGAGTGCCACAAGGTTCCCAAACGACCATCCGCACGTTTTGAATTCAGAGTTGTCCTTCTCCTAGACCAGTTGCCATCCAAGGCTATAGAACCCAATCTGTCCTGCTATTTTACCCATAGCTGGAGGAAGAGGATTCATACCTTTCCCAAGGGTATTAGCACGTAAGTGAATGTAATGGATTCGACTGGAATTCGAACTCAACTCTGCGATTCCACAATATATATATATATATATATATATATATATATATATATATATATATATATATATATATAATATTATTAATAAAATGATTATATTAATAGTATCGTGTTATATTTAAGCTTTGTAGTCTCGGATTATTTTATATTTTAAGCTTTTAACTTATTTTAAGCTTTAGTTTATATTAAAATGGCAAAGAAAAAAGGCGGAAAAAAATAGAGATTTCAATATAAGGTTTCTTAGGTGAAAGAGAAAGAAAAATAGACATGGGAGGGGAAAGGGAAAGAGAGTGAAATAGGGAAAGAAAGGAATTAAGCAAGTCGACAGGTTAACCGAGAAAAGATTTTTTCTTCCGGGATTGGCAAGTTAAAAAATACGGTGGGGGATGGGAGTGATCATATTCAAAATAGATACATTGAAATTGTCTAGTCATTTTGAGCAGCGAAACCATCATCATCGTCAAAATTACAAACTGATAATGACAATAATAATATTAATAAAATATTTGACATCAATATAAAGAAATAACACCATTTTTTTTTTAAAAAAAGGTTTTTTTTAAATCTAAATTAAACCCTAAAAATTTTGTAAAGTACTATTTTAAGTAACTAAAAACTTAAAAATGCAAAGATATACACACACACATACACACACAAAAATATATATATATATATATATATATATATATATATATGAACACATACATACACACACACACATATATATGCATATACACATAAATATTCACATATATATACCTACATACATACACACATCCATACATAAGCACATATATATATATATGGTTATATATGTGTGTGTCTTTGATTGAATAAATTACAGACATTATATTTATTCGTCACTTTGAACGGATTTTGTTAAAAATTAGCAGACATAATGTCTGTAATTTTTCAATCAGACATACCTAAAAGAGAATTTGCTGCCTAAATACACACACACACACACACACACACACACACACACACACACACATATATATATATATATATATATATATATATAGATAATATTTTTATAATTTTATTTTATAATTTATTTTTATAATTTATATAATTGGTCAATATATATATATATATATATATATAAATATATATATATATATATATATATATATATATATATATATATATATATAGTGGTCTGTTTTTAATTAAATTATTTGCTCTTGATTTACATTGATCTCTCTGGATTTTATCCTCCTTAGGTTTACCCATACAGACAGTTTTTATCTACTATTTTTATATAAACTATATATATATATATATATATATATATATATAAATTTCAAGAGGATAGAATCCAGATAGAGCTCAATGTCCAGGACAGAGCAAGGATATTATATAAAGGCTCAAAGACTAATATTCCATGGTTATAATTTATTACATTGGAATCGTAATCACGGTCTACTTCATCAGACCTACAAAATTGGATCGTGATTACGATTCCAATGTAATAAATTATAACCATGTAATATTAGTGTTTGATCCTTTTATATTATATATATATATATATATATATATATATATATATATATATATATATATATATATATATATAAACAACACTACATGAATGTATTGTGTATGGTTATTTGCATGAATAAGATGTTGGGGTAGAAAATAACGTTTTCGTTTTGCTTTTGCCTGTTCCTTTTTTTGTTAATTTCTATTTTACTTATCACGAAAAAGCAGCTTAAACCCTGTCCCCCCTCAAACCTGCTTATCCAATGCCTCACTCGTCTCCTATCGAAACATCCCTTCTTTTTTCTTTCTCGTTGTCTTAAGGGAAGCTTAAATCGATCGCGACTGTGTATGACTTCATTCCATTTCCTTCATTGTCTTTCTCTCTTAGCGAGCATTTATTGTTTTCTTTTCTTATTATTCATTTTTCTCTTCCAATTTATTTATCCATTCGCCAAGTTCAAATCTAAAATAAAAATAAAGTTCTCGTGTCCTGTTCCTGCCAAGATATCTTTCGCACCGGATAATGGCATATTGTATCCAGATGTCACCCGGTCTCATACATCCATGACGGCGTCGACATGGAACAACAAAAGAACCGAGACTGGACGAAATGAAACGAGGTTTAGAAATCAGAAATGATACCGACCCGAATCTATAAGAATAACCGATACCTGTCCGCTTGTTAAGTCAATTATTCCAAAAACAGGAGATGCTAGAAACGTGCCACAAGGTATAAGAGACTACACGAAAAATCTGGATTTTCAAAGTGTTGCCAGTCAGAATAAATAGAAATAAATTATTTTTTAGTTCTAAGCGTCAACAAGATAAACACTAGAAACAGGAAACAGGATTTATAATTCGTAAGAGTTGCCTCTCAGACATTCCATAAATAAATAATAGATCGTCTCTCTGTAAGTGACTTTTCCATAGCGCCGACAAAACTTGTGATTGTCTGGCAAGAATTCTTTTGCATCTGTTCTCTGTATTCACATTCTGTCTCATTCTCATTCTCTTTTGTCTATTTTGCCTTTGTTTAGTTTATTCCTGAATATGCGTATGCAAACACGCTTTTTAGTTTCCAACCTCATTGACGGCCGACTTTCGGGCAACTACGTGATCTCTCTCTCTCTCACACACACACACACACACACATATATATATATATATATATATATATATATATATATATATATATATAAGGCAAGGAGACCTTCCGGTCGAAACTCGAGTTGCGAGGTTAGTTGGCGTTTTAAAATTTCTTCAATATCTGTATTGAAAACTTTTTGCTGTCTGTACCTTTTTGTTGCGACTGTTTTCCGTCTTTCTTTTACGTTTCTATCCGTTATATATATATATATATATATATATATATATATATATATATATATATATATATATATATATTCCATTTGCTTGAATATAATATATATGTGTATAAAGGCAAAAAGGTGACAGAGTGAAATAGTCCTTGTTGATAGCCGTTTGGTGAAGGATGGTTAAAGTGACGGCTAGACCTGAAAATTTTCTTATATATTATTTCTTTTTCAAACAAATGGAAAAAGGAAGTGACGTTTCACATGCGGCTTACTTACAAACAGAATTGTTCGTAACCATTTTGGTTCTCACCAGTCGAAGTACAATTAAATACACTGAAACAAAGTTGCATCTTTGTAGTGAATAAATTGTTTTTATCTTTATGAAAAAA